TGGAAGAAACTCAAACTGCACTCTTATTCTGCTGGCATCTTCACTTTTTAAAGTACTCGATTTTAAAGTAGATCGCGACTTCGACAGTATCCTTACTTACTTCTTATGTCCTTACTACTTCTTTTTAAGACAGATACTGTCTGTCAGTAATTGTGTGATTGAATCATATAATTCTTGAGTGTTGTGGTTGATATCCTACATTTAGTATTTTTAGCTTACCTAACACTAGCGAACTTATTGATTTTTGCATTATACTCTTTATGTCTGTACCGGAACACTAAAACACAACAGAGATATTCATTTTAGTATAAATTCTAGAAGACTAAAAAACGATGCTAGCAGACTAAATATCCCTTTCAAGCCTTTCCGCAGTTGTGGTGAGGATGATGAAAGCGCCTTTCACCTGTTCTGTTTCTGTCCGGCACATATGCAGCGTTACCTTAACATTTTAAGGGCTTTCTTTTTGAGGATCTTGGCGAACTTCAAGACCTTCCTTTAAATAGCATCACAAGCTTTGCCAAAGGTTCTAGATGGCTTTAGCCCTTGGGTTTTTAATAAGCTTTTAACCTATATGAAGGTTTGATATTGGAATGTAAATCAACTATTTCTTCATTTCTTTTACCATGGTGAAGAAAAAAATTTATTAATTATTATTTTCTGATTATTGTATTATTTATAATATTATAATTATATAATTTATTTATTGTATATTATATACTAAATTAAATTTATTTTTTTAATATATGAAAGACGTTATAGTACCACAACTGTTTTGGAGTACACCGTTTCTTTGTCGTCTTCTTTAAGAACCATGGAGCCATTAAACTTACCATAAACTTAATATTCATTTGAAACTTACTTCATGTGGTATAGAAAATTATTTGAAAGTAACAAAAACCAAAAAAAAAATAGAAGAACTGCTCTTCAAGTTGATTTATATACCATTCACTTCGCAGTCAAGTAACTTTGTGAAGTACGGCAAACGAAAATGTTAAATTGTTACACGCGTCAGATTAAAATCAAAATCTTCATTATGAATATTTTTTCTTGCTAAATGGCGGTACATACAACCTCTTAAAATATAATTAATTATTGTACATTGACTCTTGATATTATTTTTTATGAAAACCTTTAGTTTGAACCTTTTTTTGCAGACAGATTATAAAGCTAATTAAATTTTTATTAAGAATTTGTATGGCTTAATCACTTAAAATTTAATTTTTTAAAAATACAATATATATCATGAATATTTTAGATTATAAATAAACTAAAAAGTATTCAACAAATACTTCCGCCCCTTTCACTAATACCTAAATTCCTCACTTTACGCCCATGTTTTCTGACATAGGTGAACCTATCTATCAAGTCTATTTACTCTATTCTCTTCTTCGTCTACTGGAATGAAGGTTCTTCATACCTGTGGAAAACTTTCATTCCTAAGAGGTGGTTTAGTGGATTTAGTGGATTCAACAAATGTTGACATTAAAATTATTTCTTGCTTTGAAATATAACATTTTTATTAACAATTTCAATATATGAACTTAAAGAAAACCATTTAAAACAAGTAATACATTGTGACCGAAAAGTTTTCGGGAAATTTTAAATAAAACGCAAAATTCTTAATCTTCATCAATATTTATTTTTTTATCTCCTTCAAAATATGCTCCATTAGAAGCGATACATAAATGCCAACGTTTCTTCCAATCATCAAAACATTTTTTATAGGCGCTTTCCGGTATGGCTTTGAGTTCCCTCTGCGAATTCTGTTTTACGTCTTCTATGGATTCAAAACGCGTTCCTCTGAGTGGTAATTTGAGGTTGGGAAACAGGAAAAAGTCACACGGTGCAAGATCAGGTGAATACGGTGGCTGTTCGATGGTATTTATTGAATGTTTGGCCTTAAAATCGTTGATAATGTTGAACAAATTGAGGTGAATCGGAACAAGCCGGGCGTTGACACGTCGCATACACAAATTGTCCACCAAAATCAAACGAGCCATCTCACGACCGATGCCTAGCTCTCGTGCTATCTCTCTAACACTCACATGAGGATTTTTGAACACGATTTCCTTTGCCTTTTCAATGTTTTCGTCGGTGGTAGAGGTCGAAGGTCGTCCAGAACGCGGCATGTCTTCGACGGTCGTACGACAGTCCTGAAAGGCTTTGTACCACTCATAAACTTGAGTTTTCGATAAAACTGATTCCCCATAAGCCTTTTGTAGCATTCGCAACGATTCTGCACACGAAATTTCGTTCGAAAAACAAAATTTGATGCAAACTCTTTGTTCAATATTTTTTTCCATTGTTTTTTTCGCAACGCACTACTGAGGTGAACTGGTTTCAACAGCTGCCGTAAACGAACTGTCTGACAGATCGCGCTCATTTTTGGCATAGTAATTAAGGAAAGTGCTGCCAAACTACATAAACTTAAAATATCGAAAAATATACAGCGCGCGAATTTTAAATGAGAATTTCCGAAAACTTTTCGGTCACAATGTATATAATACATAATATATTATAAGATATTGTATGCAAATTTATTATCTAAAACAATATTACAAATCGAATATCTATTTTTTTTTATTTTATAGAAAAAATTTTTTTTTAAATACAAACTATTTATATAATTATTGTTTACATTTTCTTTTGTTATATTATTGTTTATAATGCTTTAATTATTTGTTTATATTAATTAGAAATTGCAAAAAATATTTATTAATACAGACAGTGGCGTAGCTAAGAAAATAGGTAGTATCTGAAGTGAGTCAAATGGTTCTATTTATATTTTTCTTTGGGTAAGCAAAGATCCAGACATCTAAAAAAAATAAAATAATTATTCATATTTTATTTCATTATTTTTATTGATAGTACCTATAAATACTATTTTAACTATTTCTACCAATAGTTCAAATTATTATTTATATATAATATTATTTATTTATTTCTATTTGAGCCAATGCACTTAAGCACTTTTACTCTTTCGAGGTATTTTTAAAACCCCTCTTAACGCCTTGACTGGATTATTGTTTATCACTTCATCAGACTAAGCAATAATTGACCTCAGATCTGCATACCTCCCCGAAGAGTCTGTAACTATTCTAAGATTTGATAACGCGGTGTTGGTAAGTCTGTCAGTTTTTGCAAATAATTTCAGGACTCTATCCTTTATGTATTTTTTGATGGGATCAATCTTGAGGTCCCTGAGGATGTCATTCGTCCTAATGTACCATGGAACTTTGAAAAGTCTGACTTTGTGCAATTTCTAGCTGGTGAATAGTAGTGTTTGAAGCTTTGCTAAACACTACGCAACCATATAGAAGTAACGGACGAATTATTTGGTTATATATCAGTTTCCTTTTCTTAGCATTGAGATTTTCATTTCTGAATAGATTGTTTGAATAGCTTGAACTTGTTTAAGCCATTTGATTCGTTTGTCCAGCGTGATATCGAGATATTTAACGCTATCCTCCCAGTTTATTACAATAAATTCAATTCAATTTTTAAAAGAAATAAATAAAAAGGGATCCAAATTTTATTTTATTATTTACATTGTATTTGATAACTAATTGTACTAACAGATTGAAATGTTATTTTACATATTATATAGATATTATAATAACAAAGAAGCTATGTTATTTTTAAAATTTAGAGGATTTTCAAATAGTAAAGAAAGAAAGTACAAACACAAAAATTTAGTTAATTTATTGTAATTTGGCTGACCATACAACGCTGTTTCGAATACTGCCAAGTACTTATCGTTAGTGATCTTAGGAAATTATCAAATTTCTTAATAAGTCTATAGTTTATATACGACCTATAGTGTTGTATGGTCAGCGAAATTTCAATAAATTAACTAAATTTTTGTGTTTATCCTTTCTTTTTCTTTTTTTGTTATTTGAAAACCCTCTATAAATAATATATTTAAATATATTATAATAAATTTACTAAATAGCACAGTCAATTTTAACATTTGAAACCTAAATTCATTAAAATTTTGATTAAAAATAATTATATCACTGAATTTATTCGATTATATAAATTTAATTAACCTAAAATCAACTTCGTATTTAAAGCAAAATTAATTATGCAAAATATTTCATTAGTAGTTCGTACTAAGCATGTTTTTATCTAGTATACACATTTCGAATTATTTATATTTAAGCTGTAAGATACGTTTAATTAATTCAGTATTTGATATAAATAAAAACAGAATCAAAACAATTAACTTGTTTCAGTTATCTTGTTTATTAACTTTAATTTTATCTCTTGTTTATGTCACCAAAAGAATTTAATCAAACTAAAAACTAAAAAACTTAAAAACAATTTTTTCTGCATAATTTATTTTTTTTATATATTTCAATTTTTCTAATATATTTAAAAAAATTATTAAATGCCATACTTAACAGCAATTCTAAACGCATAACATTATACTGTTAGGCGCTTAACAGCTATTACAAATAGCAGCGACTGTTAAAAGCTTTATTGATAACAGCTGCTGTAATAACTAATAAAATGGGAGTAATTATTCAAAGTCAATGACGGCGTCAATAGGGAACGTCTTCATTAGCATAAACGCGCTGATAACAATGTGACAAAAGTATAATATATATACAAACGTTTATATTTATATTAATATGATTTTAATTTTATGAATTATTTATGATGTATGGCAGGCTGTGGTAGAATTTCACTTGCGGGTTGTATTGATTTCATGCTATGCAAATGCGTTCATACATAAAATGAAAATGAATTTGAAACATGAAATTGATAAGAGCACGATAATTATATTAACTACATATGTAAATATATTTAATTTATATATTTCATAATAATTAATTATTAAAATTGACACACTAACTAGGAGGAAATTTACATATAAAAAAGAAATTTACAGCAGCATGTGAAAATCATACGAATGCAAATATTTCAACAAATTATTTAAATACATATTTAAAAGATTTTTATAATTAATTAAAGAAAATATTTATTTTTATTTGCAGCATAAACAAAAGTAAATCACATAAACAGGGATTTGTTTAAAGTACAAACTACACATTGTCTAAATATGGAGAGTGATTCATTGAATCGTAAAAATTCTTCACGGAAAAATTCTGTGGTGAATGGAAATGGTGAAACCCCCGCAAAAGTTACTGCCGATGACGGTGGTGGGGAAGTAACGCTTAAAGCAAAAATGAGTCTGATAAATGGCTGTACTGTTATTGTTGGATCAATTATTGGTTCTGGTATTTTTGTTTCACCCACTGGTGTCTTGATGAATACTGGAAGTGTTAATTTATCTCTCATCGTTTGGGTTATATCTGGTTTATTCTCAATGGTGAGTAATTTTAGACACGATAATATAATTAAGTCTTTCTGCATATAGTACTCGTATACTACTCTGACGTCAATACCAATTGATAATTAATATTGATTAAATAATTTTTACAATTTACAATAACTTAACATTCTAATTTTATAAACAAGCTGTTTATATTTACGAGTATTAAAACATCTGTTGCTGTATTTTGGGTTTACTTTATTATGAGGTGATAGCATTTATCGGATTATTGTTTTGTAAACTGTATATTTACTAAATGTAAACAATAAAAATCAGTTCAATGTGTTTTTAGATAATAAAGTTTTAAAATATTTTGTTTAGCAAATGCAATGTAAACTAAGTTAGTTTAACTTGTAAATATAGTGATAAACAATATAACCACTGGAATTGTAGGAATTCAAGATAAAATAATAATATTGATTAGCTTTAAAGAAAATCAAGTTATAAATTTATACACACTATTTGTAATATATTTTTAAATACTGGATAAATATTTATAACAATTTAGTATAGAGTAACAACTACAACTTTTAAGAAATTCAGAATGTTATTTATATCTAATTCAATGACATTTTTTATATATATTCCGATTTAAAAAGCAGGTGTGCGATTTGCAACAACAAGATTTGATTTTTAATTAATTAAGATTATTAATATTATTATTTTAAAACACCCATCTTTAGTAGTCTTTGCAAATATTTGTGGTCTTGAACTACGAGCATATACTTATACCTCCAGCTCAAAAAGTATCCGGATTTTGTAAATAAAACACAAATTTAAATTTTATTCCAAATTTATTTTATCTCCTTCAAAATATGCTCCTTCTGAAGCGATACACATATGCCAACGCTGAACACAATCTTCCATACACTTTTCGTAGGCCCGTGCAGGTATGGCTTTTAGTTCCTTCGGTGAATTCTCTTTTATCGATTCAATCGACTCAAAACGCTTACCACGAAATGGCAGTTTGAGTTACGGGAGCAGGAAAAAGTCGCACGGCGCCAGATCTGGCGAATATGGTGCCTTAGCGATGACAGTGGTGCCGTGTTTGGTCGAAAAATCGCGTACAACAAGTATTTTCCATAATAAAAATCGCTAAATGCACTTGAAGTAATCTCACATTAACTGCTGTAAACAATGTAATTGACAGATGGCGCTCAAATTTGTACCATAAGTCAAGAAAGGGTGTACCAATATAACAAAAAATTTTTGAAAAAGGTCTATTACTTAAGGAATAGTTAACAAACAACAAAATCCGGGTACTTTTTGAGTAGAAGGTATGTCCAAATTATTAGAAACATTTTTATATCATACTTTATGTCTATTCGAATTAAAAGGTTATTGATGCGTATTACTAATAACTTATAATTTTAATTTTTTTTTTATTTTCTATAAATGTATAAAAAATATGACGTTAAATTTTTTTATTTAATAAAAAAACAATATCAATTTAAAGAAAATATTGTAAAATAAATTTATTTTAATTTATTTTTATTTAATTAATATTTTGTATCATTATTAGGCATACAAATATAAAAAACTGTTTAATAGAAAAAGTATTATAATTTTTAAAGAAATTATATATTACATAGAAATTATAACATTAGCATGACTTTCTCAGTATTACGTTCCTAAATTAGGTTCTATACATAAAAAAGAGTATATAAATCATGCAACAAATAATGCCTCTACAAACAGAATAGTATTGAAATTTAACAATTAAAACAACAAAAAAAAATAATTAATTAGAATTAGAATTAATTAGAATATTTAAAATTATTCTACAGCTGGTTTATGATTCGTTTTAAAATAAACACAGCAAGCGAATTTGTTAATAAAACTTTCATACCAAAGTAACAAAACTCCAGAAAAATGCGCGAACATAAAAAGTCAAAGCCGTTTGAGTCAGTTGGTTAAGGTGCGCTGACTCTGAGCTTCAAATTTGGCTGGGCACGAGTTCGATTGCTGGTACTTGCAGTCTCAAAAAATTTTTTACGTATAATTAAATACAAGAATTATTTCCCAGACCACTGATGTTGGGTATTTGGCAATACTCGAAAGAATTCAATTAATTAAAATAATATAGAATAAATTTTTTGCTGTTGTAGTTTACTACTTTTCGAAGAACCACTTTATGGAATTATATATATATATATATATATATATTGTATTATTAAAAATTATTAAAAATTTTTTAGTTCTTCCATACCTTAAAAAAATAATATATTCTACCAATAGCCTTTTTTCATCAAAATATATATGATATATAAATATTTTTTGTAGATTGTAAGTATCAAGGGTTAAACTTGAAAGTCGTGCTTGACTGTGTTGTTCTAACTTGTAACTTATTTTTTATTTTTTTTTCTATTACAACAAACGCTTAAACTACAGCTATAATTTAATTAACTATTGTTTATTGTTCTTCAGATTTCAAATTATCTTGGCCAATTTAAAAATGTGTGCCAAGTTTTCGGTGTACATTTTATTATTTTATCTGTTACTGTATTAAATTATCATTTAATTAAAACACCTATATATTGTTGAATATTATTATAAGATTTAATACCAACTATTTCAATTAGAGCTGTTAGATAAAATGAAGGTTCGTGTATAACTTATTTTATAATCCTTGACGTTAAGTTTCCGTTCCTGTTTTTCTTGCTATTTTTTTCAATTAAATAGCTTTTTATGGCATTTGCAATAAAAAAATATATGTAATAAGATACTTTACTGCATTAACCGATTAATTTATTTTCTTCATTTTTATGTACATATATAGTAACTGTTTCTGGTATTGCTTTTAGCTTACATCCAGGCATAATTTAATAAAAAAAAATGCATTAAAATGCAAAAATACTACTTCTATTTCCAAATAAAAAAGAGTAGTGAATACTTCAAATATTCAATAAAAATTCCAATTTTAATGAAATTACTGACATTCTTCAACATAACGCAACAGGCAAGCAACGGCTGTCAGTGCCTGCGCCTGTTATTGGCACCAACTTCTTGTCTATTGTCTCTGAGCTCAACAAGTTCATAACAACGTACAGCGTACTGGGTACAACGTACAAATATTTACACAGAAAATGAGTTCGCAATGAACGACATCAAACTGAAATGTCACTTAACAGTTCTGGTTTTATTCCCAGAAGTGTTAAAGCCATTAGGAATGTGAGTGAGTTCCTTTAAGGAAACGATTGAGAAATAAAAATAAAATTTAATATGCGTTTGACATGAAAATAAATAAAAATGACAATTGGAATTATTTAATGAAGGATGTGTTTTTTCCTAGGCAGCTGAAGAAGTAAAGTAAATTTAATTTTCATAATAACATTGGCAGTTTATGTTAGCTACATTTTATACACACACATACACATAAATTGGCATTATTTAATGGAAATTACGTTAAAGTTATATTTTTTTTAACACGTTAGTTGTAATTCCATCGTGATCAGTAATACATTGGATCAAGTTTACTGAAAGATAAATTTATTGTTTTTAATTTAATTTTATTTATTAAATATAATAACCAAAATATGTACATATTTTTATCAAAACATATCAATATACTAATTTCATCATTATTATTTTACAAATTAAATTATATAAAAAATTTTAATAAATAATTAAAATTTAAATAATATTTAATATTAAAAAATAAATACTTTGCAATGAATAATTTTATCCTTAATAAGTGAATTTAACTTACAAAAAGTTTAAATTATTTTAGTTGAACTTGAAACCATTTTCAATATCTTAGCTATATATATAGCTATATAGCAATAGCTATATTTAATTGCTTTCTTAAAGCTTTTTGGTTTAAGTTGTATTTTATTGTGTTGTAAAAAAAATAATATGAAATGTAAATAATTAAATAATTAATCTATAGTAAGAAAATATATACTTGAGAAAGTATTACTAAAACCACTACAACAACTTATTATTATTTACAGGTCGGTGCATACTGCTATGCGGAACTGGGTACAATGATAACGAAATCTGGAGCTGATTACGCTTATATTATGGAAACTTTTGGACCATTTTTGGCTTTTATACGTTTATGGATTGAATGCATGATAGTACGTCCTTGTTCACAAGCTATAGTGGCATTAACGTTCAGTGTTTATGTGTTGAAACCCTTCTTTCCCGAATGCCAACCACCAGAAGATGCTGCCCGCTTACTCGCCGTTTGCTGTATTTGTAAGTATATTTAAAAAAAAATAATTTCTTAAATTAAATTATATTTTATTTTATTATAAATAAACATCCGCTTAGTTATAGTTTGCAGCATTTAAAAACAAATCTTGAATGATTTGACAAATGAGTTTTCATTGTCAATGTTGTACTTGACCTACAGCAGTAAACAAATCTACAAACTTAGACAATATTTTCTATCTTATCAAATATTATTTAAATATTTGTATGTAAATAAACTTGTGCATTCTGTAAAATTTATTATGAAAGTGTAAAATTTAGTATACAATATATGTGAAAAAAAAAAAATATGTGCAAGTAGACATGTACTCAAAACTCAGAAATCACAGAAATCAGAAACCAGAGCTCAGAGCTCAGAACCACATATAACTCAAAACTGATTAATAATATAGACAGAGAAGAGATTGGAATGCTGTGCGTAGTATGCATCGCGAAGTATTGCTTTCCGCATGATTTAATTGAACAGAATTGTTTATATTTAATGAATGCTTGGAGGAAAGTCCAATATTATGCAAATCATAAGTAAATTACATCATCCGATCCTATTTTATTATCTGTAAAACTTTACACGTTCACTTTATGGTTGCACACAATTTCAAAGATCAGAGTGCATTTATTCATAAAAAATTATCTTTGTTCCGCGCTGGTGAGTTAAACTTCCAAGTCCAAGTCACAACCAAAGCAAAAAATCTCAAGTGAAAAATTGCCCTTTAAAAAATTTAAGAAACTATTTATATCAATTTTTATCCAATTTAAATTGATAATTTAATATTGCCAATTTAATGCACTGCTTTCTTATAATAAATTCAAAATTAATTTACTTACTTATAAATATTTAATGAAATCGTTTTTATTTTCATTATTTTTCTCAACCTTATCCTTATTTACTTCCTTACAGTGGTCTTAACTTTTGTCAACTGCTGGGACGTTAAATGGGCCACCGCTGTGCAGGATATTTTCACATACGCCAAACTGCTAGCACTATTCGTCATCATTGGTTCCGGCATGTACCAGTTGTACACGGGCAATGTACAGTATTTCACTTTTGAAAATACGGACACAAGAGTAACTTCGCTGGCGCTGTCATTTTACTCCGGATTATTTGCTTACAATGGTTGGTAAGTTGACAACCTAAACTGACATTGAAGTAAATTGGATACACTAATAGGATTTCTGAAATGCCAAAGTGGCATAGAAAATTTATATAGCATAAGATTTATAAAAATAGCAAATCAATTTACTTTATTAAAATTATTTATTCTTTTCTAGGAATTATTTGAATTTCATTATTGAAGAATTGAAAGATCCTGTTAAGAACTTACCCCGCGCCATTGCCATTTCATGTACTTTAGTTACAATCGTCTATGTCTTGGCAAATGTTTCCTTCTATACTATTTTATCACCAGATGAAGTTTTAGGCTCACAAGCTGTAGCCGTAACCTATGCAGAACGTGCATTCGGCATGTTCGCTTGGACTATTCCAGGTACAAAATAATTATATACAAAAATATTTAACATGATTTAATAAATTCTTCCTCCTATTATCCAGTCTTTGTGGCATTATCCACATTTGGTGCAGTCAATGGTATTTTATTAACTTCATCGCGTCTCTTTTATGCTGGCGCCAATGAAGGACAGATGCCCGAAATTTTGACCATGATACAAATACAACGCTTCACTCCCACACCAGCTGTTTTGGCCATGGCATTGCTCTCAATGTTGTACTTGACTGTTTCTGATATATTTGCGCTGATAAATTATGTTGGTTTTGCTACTTGGGTGAGTAGAATTATTTTTCATCTTAAAATATATATATAAATATCAATTTATGTAGATAAAAAAATATTTTATGTAGCATATATATTATATATATATTATATATAAAATTAATTTTTAAATATTTATTAAATCACATCTCGGATTAACTCTATTTCTGCTAGCTTCGCTAGTAGGCATCATTTCTAATTATAAGATCAATCTAATTTCTCCTCTAATAATGATCTATTATATATGGGTTTTAGGTACATATACGAGTATATGTAAAAATAGCACTGTTGAAAACAAATTAGTAATATATATTTTAAATGAAAAGAAATAATTTTATGTATTATTTTTAAATTAATTGTTAATTACTGCACAGCTCTTCGCATGCAACTTCATATAATCACAACAATAATATTATAGCGCCATCTAGTGAACAGATTACTACTTTATTTCAAGGACCTGGTAGTTGTAACCGGTAATTTGATTGTTGAAAATGTTTTTAATCAATTTTACACTATCGTGTGTGATCGTATAAAATGTTAGTGGGTTGTAGTACATAGATATACAACACTATTTGGTAAATATTATATATTGCATATGTATGGGAACCCAATTAAAAAAATGCATCACAATTTTCGGTAGGCGAAGTTGTAGAAATATTATCATAGCCTTCTTCTTCTTTCTTCTATTCGAAATAATATTTCAAGCCTTAAGTTACTGAATAGAATTAAGTAGTATAGGCAAGGAGTACGGATATTATATACATAAACTTTAAAGTGCATATTCATATGCCTAAAATTATGCAAATAAATTAAAAGATGTATTTTTTACCTCATACATACATACACGTACTAAATAATTACTTGGAAAATAAATTATTTCCAATGAAACAATATTTTATTTCTCAATAAAAATATATGTTTATAATCAATAACTTTTCTTTCAGTTGAGTATCGGTGTAGCTGTACTATGTTTGCCTTGGTTACGTTGGGCCCAACCAAATTTGCCACGTCCTATTCGTGTTCCATTGGTATTCCCTATTGTTTACTTGATTGCAACGGTTTTCGTTACGGTGGTGCCTATGTATGCTAGTCCAGTTGAAACTGGCTATGGTGTGCTGATGATACTTTCAAGCATACCAGTTTATTTAGTATTTGTTGCTTGGAAAAATAAACCAATTTGGTTCCAGAAATCAATGGGTAAGTGTTAGTTATAAGTGTATCTTCGTTTTTCTTGTCTAAAAAACTTCACATATTATTTAACTCGCTTTTTCTGAAAAATTCACATATTGGTTTTGACCACTTCAAGTTATTTATTTTTTAATTTTCTTCCACATACAATTATTTTTGGCAATATTTTTTAGGTGGTTTCACACAAGCTCTACAAAAAATGATGATGGTTGTTCGACCAAAAGCTACTGCAAAGGTTTTTATTTAATTTTTTTAATTTATGCATTCATTCTTATATAGTATATAAAAACTTTTACTCATTCTCATATTTAATTATAAAATCATAATAAAAATATTAATTCTTTTTTTTTTTGCTTGCATTTTTAATAATTATAAAAATTTTATTATTTTTCTTGCACTTCAAATTACTAAAATTAGTTGCACTCTGTTTAATCTTAGTTAAATTTTAGTTTAATACTAACAAAATAGAATAGTTTGATATTTATTGCATTATCAGGATTACAAGATATCTAAGAATAGCACAATCTATATCATTGATATTTTCATGATGAAAATGTAGAAAAAGAACATACAAATGTTAAGACAAAGTTTGATAGCAGAATTGATCACAGAACCTATTTCTTAGTAATTAAGTTATATAACTTCAAAATATTTCCTAAACAAAAGGTTTATATATATCAATGGCAAACCAACTTCTAAAGCAGTTATGTAGTGAGATTTAAAATCAAATATAATTTATACCAATTCCATCTACTTTTAAGTATAAAAAATCTATTCATATCTTTTTGAAAAATATCTCTTTCTATTTAGAGACTCTACTTTTATTTCAGGCTGAACAAACGGTCCTTATTTTTACTAAATTTTTTTTGAAATTATTTCAAATATGCTGCCATATGTTTTGTGATATATTTAATGGGATGATATTGGATCAAATAGTACCAAGTAGTATTTTCGAAGTAAACATATTTAGTTATAAAGATAATTAATATTGTAAATAAATGCCGTTTGAACTGTATGGCAAGTAACGCTCAAACTATATCAACATTGCCGACAGTTTTTTTCCAAAAATTAAGGCAAGTAACTAAATAGCACACATGTTTCACTCCTCTATATTCAGCTTATAAATACACAAAAAAACTTCAATGTGCAAAGTCACTAATATTTTAAGATTATATATAATAATATAAAATAGTAAGTACTTAGATAAATATAATAATATAAAATAATAAGTACTTAAATGAAACAGTAGGATAAATGAGTACGATATATGAAACCGTAATATCTCGCTTGTGCGGATACGCATTGTAAGATAACTTGTGTATTTTCCAGAGAGATTTTTCGCAATAGAGGTTAAAGTTTTAGTTAATGATGAAATACAAATTCGGTTTTAAAGAAATTGTTCAACCAAAAGACGTTTCCTTTTAACATGAGTATAGTTAGAGAATTTTTAAGAAATTGTACTGTAAAAAAATGTATATAAATTATATGATAGGTAATAAGTATCTAATAAAGACAAAAATGAAATTCTTTTCTTATTTCAGAGTTTTAGTCCTGATAATGTATTTTATCTTAGTATTTTACTAATATTATATTTGAATAAAATTACACAATAACAATAAATAAATAATTTTTTTCATATCTTTTACTTTTCTATAGTAAGCTTAACACATTTCCTACAAAAGGTGCTTATGGTACTCGGAAAAACTAAGCCAGCTCAGGTGTAAAATTCATAAAATCTATGAAAACTGTGAGAATTTAAGTAACTAAGTATGAAGTACATTTTAAGGACAGAATTTGCATTTTCTAAAACTAGCAATGAATAAAATATGACGAATTATAATTTCATATTAAAAAAATCTAAACAATTAATATATAATTTATTACAAAAATCCATAATATATAAGTATTTTAATATTTTCATTAAAAATATATATAAAATAATATATATTTATATTTATTTAAATAGTTTCAAAAAGAATTAATTTTCAGATCATCACAATATATTCACAAAAAACGAATAATAGAATATTCAGAAATAATTTAATACTAACGAAAATTTGTTAAAAAATAAGTTTAGAATAAAAATACTGAAGTTAAGAATTTGTAATTTAATAATAAATATTTTTTTTATTTTATTTATTATAATTTTGACTAAAAATTAGTTTTATTTTAAGCTCTTAATAAAAAAAACTTATATTTTTAAATAATTTTAAATCATTGTTTTTTAAATAAACTTTTTTATTTTATTTTTTTTTTTATTTAATGAAAATATGTTTTATTTTTTGTTTTTAATTTTTTATTTTGAATAAATAACAATACTCAAAAAAATAAATAAAAATTATTTTTGATTAATAAGTCGATATAATAAGCAATATATATATATATATATATATATATATAGCATTCAATCTATAGCCAACTGATATAAAAATAAATTGGCTAATTTAATATATAATATATATACCATATAGTTGAAAAAAATCATGCTTTAGTTCACTATTTAAACATTGTTCAATTTTATTTGCATATCATAATAAATATATTCAGAATTTTCAGTAAATATATTCAATATAATTTTTATGATATATTAAGATTTATAAGTACAGCGTGATACTATGTAAAATAATATGTAGAAGGAAGAAATATAATGAAATATGTAGTTTGTTTACATTAAAACTGTGTAAATTGATATATTCACTTAGGGCCATGTAATGCAGGCAGTCATGGTCACATCAAATGTATAATTGTTGTTGTTTCTAACATGAAATTGAGAAGGAAAGCAAGAGAGTAAGTACACATAAACTGAGATCATAGTGACGAGGCTTTTATTGTAATAAATTTCATAATTTGTATCTTCCGCGATATATGTATGCTCACAAATCCCCACAAAAAATATTACGTTATAAATTCCGATACAACCAAATAGAATCAAAATAAAAGTAACAGTACGAAATTGACAGTTGTGATTTGACTCTCTGCATAACACTCGTTAATGGTAATGATCAGAAAAGATCTGAAACTAAATTTATTAAAATTTAATTGTTAGCTCTCTCTAAATATTGCATAATAAAATAAATAAGTTTATTTGTATATTAATAATAATATATAATATACCCATATTTGTAAAATATTATGACAACGAATCAAAAAAAAAAAAACACACAGTCCTACTTATTATCATATCTCATTAGATATGAATAAATTTAAAAACATACATGGAAGTATATCGTCCACGTCTTAGTTTATTTATTTCGAATTCTTATATATTTGTTAATTCGTTCACGGGCACGGCATGGGCAAAATTGTTGTTGTATTCAATGCAAATTATAATATTGAGAGTGAGAGAAAAAACAATATGTCGGTTCAAATTCCGTCATGAGAGCCGAGCCTATCTGTATCTCATCACTTAGGCAAAGCAGTGTTGTCTAACGTTTTTTAAAGAAAGGCGTATAATTTTGCGCGTACTGTTAGTAATTATTATAAGAAAATATAATAATAAATAAACATTAAGCATGTCTACATTTCCATTAAAATTTAGACACAACCAAAAAGTATCAAAAACTATAGCTCGAAAGAGCCAATTTTGCCACGCCCCTGACACTCTTCATAGCATGACCCTTAGGATGAGAGGTCAGTGGTGTATTAGTAAAGCTGTTATTCGATGTCTTTCGCTCTGACTCTCTTTCTTTTTCTATCTCTTCCTCTCGTTTCTTCTCTCTTTCTTTCTTTCTTTCTTTCTTTCTTTCTTTCTTTCTTTCTTTCTTTCTTTCTTTCTCTCTCTCTCTCTCTCTCTCTCCCTCTCTCTCTTTCTGTAATGTGTTATGAACTTTGAAATGAGTTTAGCTTATTAAATCGCATTGTACACACTTTTTAATACCCGAACTAAGTATAATAAGTTCCTGTGTTAGTATTTCAATTCATTTAGATTCTTATATCTTCCTTAAGATAGCGCTATAAATGACAACAGTCATTATTCTTCAAATCTTGAAATATTTCTTCAACATATATCTAATATGTACTTACATGAATACCCAAAGAGAATACCCTTTCCGAATTAAATTTCGGGCTACTAGTCTGTAATGAAAGACACCTATATATACCCGAAATAATTCCATTAACACAAAAAATGTTTTTAATTATTTTACTTATTATTTTGTAATTGTTATTAACTCTTTAATAAGTTATAAAATAACAAAGTTATAAAAAAATTTTATCTAATATAATAAAAATAATTAATTAAAATAAGGTTAAGAAAAAAACAAATATAATTTTGTGTTACATACTTGCCTGAAAATGTCGAAAAGGTCTGCTACTAGAACAAAGTCCATGATATATATTATACATTTATGTATAATTAAAGAATTTAATAAAAGTACACTAATAGACTTTTTAGCTTGTTAATAAGATAGTAATGTTTTCAATTAATATAAAATATATGTATGTAATGTATACTTAATTAAATGTTTTAAAATTATATATGTATATTATAAACCAAATATATTTAAAATTATAAAATTATATATATATACACACACATATATATACTAAGTTATACTTTTTATAAATTATATCTATTGTTTAATAAAATATAATAATTATATGTTTATTTTAAGAATTATAGTATTTTCTATACTAACTGCCGTTTAGCAATGAATCAAGTCACCATAAAACGAGAAAATAAAATTAGAAAGCTTAAGAAGCTTAAAGAATTTGACCATTATTTATCTTGGTAGAAATGTTTTGAAGCTAAAGACTATAATTTCTACCTTAGTCAAGACATTAACTAAGTTCAACTTAGAATTACCTTCGTATAGACTATAAAACAGAAGAGATTAAAAATGTCAAGTAAACCAAACAAAACTACAGCCAACATTATCACAATATATGCATACACCCAATATCCTCCCAACGTTAAGGTTTCCTCCTTAAAAATTTAGTAAACCCCTTAGAATTTAAAGTAAAAAAAAAATTGTACAACAAAATCGGTAAAAAGTACTTCTATGGAATGAGGACTGTTCTTTAATTTTTTACAATTGTTGAAGTAATTGCATTATATATGTTTTTTAAAACATCTCTGGAACAATTCTCATTTATATTGTTATATATTATTATTTAGGATAATATATATTTATTAGAAAGTACTTCTATGAAACGAGGACTGTTCTTTAATGTTTTAGAATTGTTAAAATAATTGCATTATATATGTTTTTTAAAACATCTCTGGAACAATTCTCATTTATATTGCTATAATTATTATTTAGGATAATATATATTTATTAAAAAAAAAATTTTAAATTTACACAAACATTAAAAAAGCATATAATATTCTAATGTTTCAACATGATTTTTGTACAAAAACAAAAAAAAACACATATCCTAAATAGTGAAACTTATATAAGTGTTTGTGGTTCATTCCCCCCAAAATTCGTATAATTCAACAAATCAATTATTTATAAAAAAGTTAGTTTGATTTTAATTATTATATATAGTCGAAAATGACAATGTTATATATATATTGCATTGCTTTTAAATTAAATTAAATTGTTCGTAAAAATGATTAATTATAAATCAAAAAATATATTTAATTATATATTAAATTAATGTAAAAGCTCTTGTATGCTTTTAATAAAATATTTACGCAGAATTATATATTGTATATGGGAAAATTGTTGACAATAATATAATATAATTATGTATACAGATAAGTTACTGAAATATGTTTATATAATTCATATATGTATATGTTTATATTATTTACAATAATGCATTAAAAACTCAAACTGATTTACCATATAAATGATATATAATATATTAAAAAAACACCACAAATAATAGTTTTTTTTTTTATAATTAAAACATAAGGCCTTAAGTTGTTCCTACAACTGCTGCAGTAAGCAACTGTCACGAGTTAAGTTTTTTAGGTCTTGAAAATTTTGTTCACCAAGCGAACATTTCGCTACTGAAATTATTCAGTTTGCTTATATTTTATAGTGAAATGGAGTGGACAAATAGTTCAGTTCATAATATTATAGAGAAATGTTTAGAGAACATTAGTTCCGTGACCAATTATAGTGACTAGTAATCCGCATGAATGCTAATATTTCTTTATAAATGACCATATAGGTATAGGCGTCATTATTATTTTTAGTTCCTTATTTATCTGTTCTATATTCTACCTGCTTAAAATCTACTTCGGAGTGCTCTTTCTCTGATTGGTAAATAATTGGTCAATTTTATTGGTTGTGTGAGAAAATAAACATCTAGAATACTCTCTACTGCCTTGTAAGTAATACTACTGTAATTTGATCTACATGTAAGTCTTTATGTAGGTCGTTGTTCGATATGTCCAATATGTTCTCATTATTTTAGATTGTAACCTCTGTATTATTTGAATGTTAGACTTGCTATCGGTACTCTATATCTCAAGAGTACTTTACACCAAGCAACTAGTATAATTATCCAAATGTTCGATGCACTTTATGATCTATCAAGTTGAGTTTTCCGAACTATTCGTTACATATCATTCTAAGATGTTTAGCTTTCAAGTCAATTTAGCTTGAATTAGTTTAATGTTAATTTTTTTGGTTTTTTCTGTATACATTCAGATGACTTGTATTGTTTTTTCCGCGTTTATAGATATGTTCCATTTTACAAATCATTCTGTTACCCCATTTTTTGTGACAGTGATTATTATTGGGTTATCAATATTGATATGTGTAGATATAAACTTTTGTCCTCAACAAATGTAGCTATCATGTCGTGGTTTTCGCGTGGAGTAAGGGGGAGTGGAGTGGAATTGAGTAAAGAATACAGCAGACAAATAATCTGCTGTATAAAGAAGGTATGGAACCAAATAAACTACTCTGTAATGCTGTAGCATTAATTTCTTTTAATATTGTACAAAAAAGTCTATTTCAAATCAACTTTTTTTTTTCTAATTTAATTAAAATATATTTATTGTTACTAAACTCTTATTAATATTAGTTTATAAAAGTAAATGATTCGAACATAAACCGTTCATGTACAATTTGTTTTTATTAAGTCTGATAGAACCCCATAATTTTACATTTCCATAGTTTCAAATATCAAAGTCAATGAATATCTCAGAAACTCGTTGATAACATTAATAACACCCAAAAGGTTTTTGTTGAAACCTTGTATTATTTTAAATTTATTATATATATTAAGTTTGTTTTGAACCATACAAAATCGAGTCATAAATAAATTTAATATTATTTTATAAATTTTCACACACTTTATACATGTTTTGAGTTTGCATTCGATACGTCAGAGCTAACTTTTTTCATATTTTGCAGCAAACTCATCTCATCGTCAATTGTGGATGAGAGACGATTTTGGCACTGCTCTAACTGTCTTACTTTAAACCGCAGTGAATGTTGTATCAACTCATACTTTTTCATCTGGTAATAAATACTCAATTCTTTGGAATATTCTGATTTCTCCACATCTAACAGAAGGGTCTCAAAAGAGGATAAGGCAAGCTGATATTTTTTCTTTAACTTATCCAATTCATCTGCGAAAATGCGTTCTTTCGATGATGAGTTCACAACGAAACTACTTTTGTGTACCATTTGCTTGATGTCAGTGCACATTTTTCCAACTTTAGTTTCGAATTTATAGTTGTAATAACTTTCCCTCGCATACAGTACATTTGAGAATTTTTCATCAATTTTGCAATGCCAAAAACTTATATTGTTTAAATCAGCAGTTGAGAGGACGCAAGCTTTTTGTCTAGCCAAAGGAATGCTCGGACTTTTACGCAAACCAATTTGGGAAGTGCTTATATATTGACTCCTTTTAGCCGTAACTCTTGAAGTTGATGGATCAGTCATAATACCCGACCTTGAGCTTTCCAATTTGTACTTTAGAAATAAAATAAAAAATTAATATACATTATTAAAATATATCCAGCAATAATATAGTTGAATAGGTACTATTTTATACATAAGATTAAATTTAGGAAAACGAAACGGATCTGACTACAGTTCTGTTGGGGGACATTAGAATTCAATAGAAACGAATATCGGAAACTTTGCAAAATTGTTAAAGAAGAAACATGGTTAAAGTAATATGGAAATGCAACATAAAATTCTGAATCGTTAGGAGTAGTAATATCCCATAACAAAAGCTTTAGGGCAGCGAAACGCACTCACAGGTTGTTTTCACTCTTCTACTTAATTAAACCTAAAATCTCATTTAATTAGAAAAAGTTTATGACTAACTAGACATACCTTCGAATCAGATACTGAAACTTTAAGACCTGTTTCTGCGGCACACGCTACTTGTAATATATCTTCAGTGATAATATTACCACTATCACTATCAATGATTGGTATATCGAAGAGTAAATCCACTTGCCATGACTTCTTTGCTAGTACCAAATACTCACGAAGACATTTCACAATCATGGTATTATTCACAGCAGCTCTGGATGTTGAATTCTCCAGCACATTCTTCATGTCCGCTTTTGTGTCTCCATCTATTATGCAAAGATAATAATGTATAAGTGAGAAATTTAAACGAAACTTTCTCTCGTGGGTATCGGTCAAACTAAATTGAAAATCAAAACATTCATGCCCAGTGCCGAACGAAAAGAGATTGGTGTAATCTGTTCGTAACCATTTCTGCAGTTGCGAAAAATTGTGAAATAGTAAGCCTGCGGGACTAATAGATTCTTTTCTTCCACTACTCATAGTTGACATTACATTCACTAAGTTATATTTATGTAGATTATAGTATTCCAACTTGATATGGTCCACAGTAGTTTTCGTTTTTTTTAAACGTTTCTGTACTTCCTTACACAGAAAATTGCTGAGGAAACGTATTTGACATTCGCGTAATGCATTGAATCGTATAAGACAGGAATTTTTGCGCTTTAACAGAAGTTGATCCAACAATTCGTGAATCTGTTCAACTGTACGCACTTCTGAAGCGAATCCGAGAAAGCTGAAATGTAAATGCCGTAAGATTTTTGATTGAGAATCCGCATTTACTGATGGCGCGTTTGATGTGACGAGTAAAGTGTGATCATCGATTAACTGCAAATTAGTGTTAATGTACTTCTTGTTCTCAGTTTCGCGATCCAATCGATTTTTTCTGTTCAGCTCAAAATGATCCGGTGCATCAATATCGTTTAATTGTACAATAACGCGAAGGTTACTCATTTTGATTGCAGTTTCGTTAGCCTCTTTCGTCGATTTACAAATTATAGAAAAGGGTTTACTGTAAATTTATAGTGAGTACCAAAAATTTCTAGAGTTGATTCCTTGAATTGTAATTTAACTAACATCAAATGGAGGAAGAAACCGCAAATTGTACATGATTGAAATTTTTCATAAATTCAATGAATATAATTAAAATGATTATAAAATCAAAAAATTATTGATTACTTGTTTTAGAAATTTAAAATATAAATAAAATTTCAAAGAAATGGGAGAACGGTAAACTAATCCCAACACACAATACACGTTCCAAATTCTAAACTCAACCTGCCACCATTTTATAGAAAGCTTTAACATCTATTTATTGACTTTTCATCTATTTAATAGAATGATAAAGAATTCAGCGAGAAAAAAATTGATCGACCAATGTAGTGCAGGGTCTCAAAAATAAGAATGGAAATAAATTAATTATATTTTAAATTACATTCCATAATTCATATGCAAAATTTGAAGACGTAGGTAGTAATAAGTTTTGGATATTCCACTATCTAACGTGATCACGCTTATAAGATAGACAGAAAAGCGGGTTTAGGAATAAACCTCGAAAAAAATAAATCAATTCTTTTTTGAAGGAAAAACAGACTGCCCGCTATGATAAAAATTTCGAAAGAGAGCGTTAAATATCTGGTACTCATATTAGACAAGAAACTTATCTGGAAAGTCAATATTAAGGACAAAGTGATAAGCTTGCTTTGTATACTTGCACAAAAAAACAATTAGTATGAGGTGAAGATTAAATTGACAAATTATGTATACTTATTTTATATATGTATAAAAGCTAACGTATTCATAAACGTCTAAGAATTTATCTGAATAACTTTTTATTCGAATTCAACGGAGCTCTTATTACAGTGGTTCATCTAAATAGTCACATACAATACTGATAAAAGTGCTTTAGACACTACTTCCCATATTATCAAACAAAGAAGAAGAAGGAAGATATTTGAAACTTATAAGTAGTGCTCCAACAAATGCTTTTCTGTACTTCAAATAAAGCTCTGAATGCGCTCATCAACTTAACTGTTCCAAAACTCAACTTCATCAGACATTTCATTTAAGAAAAGAGTGGGATACACTCATGCCGTCGAGAAGATGAGAATTGAATTTCAGATACCTTCAAGTTTAACGGAAAAGTTAGCTTTGAAGTCTTCTTGAAGAGTTTACGATTGTTTATTTGTCCACCTGAATACTGCAGGTACGGTATACGGAACGTACGGTAACTAAAATTATAATGAATGCACTCTCGCATAGCGAAATATTTGAGAAATTACATATAAATATATAAATCAACAAACTCGGTGGCAATAAGATCAAAGACTGTTCACAATTGCCTTGTGATTCTAAATAATATTTTAATTGTTTTAGGGTACACCTTATATAGGTTTCGGGACATTGAAGCAAACTGCCGGATGGATCAGTTGATCAGACAGATTACTCATATTCCTCTGAACGCAGACAGAAACAATATTGAAATACCTATGGCGACCTGTACAACATTGTTAAGGCACTGAAATGATTGATAGGAATAAATCAAGAGACTTACTCACAACTGGACCGACTGCAATATAGCATATCTATTTAGTATTGGAGAAATCGATAAATTAGTAGGTGGTGTAATACCTCAAGCAAAGCAAAGAGATTTAATATAGACATATCGAAGACATCACTAACAAAATTTTCTTGATGTTATTGAAGCAGATTTCTACATCTTAGACTCAAACTTTAATATATATATAAGCCTGCCTACGACGCTTTAAAAAAACGAAGTCATTTCCAAATATATTTGTGTGCTTAATGTAATTATTAATTTTATTTTAAGTTCTTACAAAGTATTTTTTTTATGATAAATAATCAGTATTAATACTCGTTATGTTTGTTTTTTGTACTATTGGATTCAATGGCACTTTTTAGTAGTGAAAGTTCTGCTCCAATAGTACCCTGTATACTGGACATACATTGTGCTAACTGTATTATCTTAAACTGCAAAGAACATTCTGTCAGATATGATTTTTTTTCTTCGAGATAATCAAATAAATGTCCAGCATATTTGGATTTCTTCACTTCATCTTCCAAATCTTGTATAGTAACCAATGCCGTATGATATATGCCAGAATATTTTTGCATTTCCTTGTGAACGCGTTTATTCCGTTGCTGAATGGCCTCAATCTCATTCTGGTTTTCATGGATCAAATTCTTAATATCGTTATTAATATTGCTCATTTGATCGGTAAATTTGTGTTTGTAATAGTTTTGCATAGCTGTTAGCACAGTTTTGAATGAATGATCAATGCCATCATAAAAGATGCTGATATTGTCTTCAGCAAAACATTCTTTAAAAGCATTTTCTCTATCTAAATTGCTTTCAACACTTTTGAGGGTTTCAATCTTTTCTGCTCCACTTGATTGTCTTTCTTGCATTATGACGGACTCACCATCTTTTACGTAATCGTCAATGTTCTTATTTTCGGTTTGCTCATTTTCTTTTACAACTTCCTCCGATTCCTTTTCTGTCTTTATACATTCAATTTCATCATCAAATTTCTTAATAATTTCTTCTATATTCCCATCTTCACAAAGAGGTACACAGTTCAAATTTTCTTCAAACTGTTCTGCGCTATTAACAGAATTATCCCCAAAACTTTCATATTCTACCAGGTTGTTTTGGATGTTTTTAATGGCATCCCTACAAGCCGTAATACAATTTGAAGATCTTTGTCTAACAAATTCGGAATTCTAGAAAGACAAATTATTATTGTTACAACTTTATAAGATATAATAATACCCCTATCTACAAACCAATTTCCTTTCCTGTAATTTAACCATACCCATATAAGCGGAGGATGCAATTTTCAACATATCTTTGATAACCAAATCTCCATTGGGTATCACAGGTATATCGAATATAATATTAAGCGACCATTTTGTGGTAAAATATTCTCTTATGCTGTCAGTTATCATGGTATGCTTTACTTTACTTATATGGTTCTTGAAAAAATCACCCAGATTATTTTTGGTATCTGAAGACATAAGACTTAAGTAGAAATTTACTATTGAGAAACTTAACTTAATCGGTTGTTTCTGCGCATTAGTAAGGGTAAATTCGAAGTCCATACATTCATGTTCAGATCCTAACAACCACAAATGGAAATAATCACTCTCCAACCAATTAAGTAACTCCAATGTATTGTGAAATAACCGTTTCGGTGGTAACGTCCGTAAATTCCGATTGTGTTCCGCTTTATCGAGGAGACTTATCACATTAAATCGATGCACATCGAGATAACATTGCAAGTTAATCGAAATCAAATTAAGACTATATAAGCGCAACCTTTTATCTACCGCCAAAACTAAGAGATTTATTAAAAATTTTATTTGGCATTCACGCAATAAACTACACCGTATCAGACAACAGGATTGCTGTTTATTTAATAACTGATCCATAACTTGTTCAATAATGATCCGAGTAGCCGATTTCGATGCATAATCAATGTAATCGAAATAAAACTGCTGCGCTTTTTGCGTCTTGGGAATTGAATCTTTCAAAAATGTTTCAGTTGTTTTAAGTATCAAATTGGATTTATCGAGTAATTCCAATTCAGTTTTGACGATCTTTTTATATTTATCCTGTAAGCTCACCGATTTTCGTTGAGTTGAAGCGTAATACTCCTCATCGGCCATATCATTCAGTTGGACCATTACTCTATATTCCTGCATGTTTTAAAATGTTTTGTATACAATGTCTTTCTAATATTTGGATATTCCTTCTGTAATATTTCTCAAATTTAAGATGTTTCGGTTTGTGTTACTTAAAATTTTGAATTTTGCTTTAAAATCCAAAGTATATTGACCAAAATTAAAACTCTACATTTTAAATTTTTTATTTTCTTTTTTGAAAAAAAATTTAAAACTAACAGTTGATTTTATTTGTCTAAAAATATTATAAAAATATTATTTATAATTAAGATAATAAAAAAACATTTTCTAATATAATATATTTTTCTTATTAATTATAACGCTATATTATAACATGTGCACCGCTATTATAAGTGCACTGTCACAATGGATGCACCACTGTAATGAATCCACCACTATTATAAGTGCACTGCCACAACTAGTGAATCGCTATAATGAATCCACCGTTATAACGAGTGCACCGCTACAATGAGTGAACCGCTATAATGAGTGCACCGCTGTATTGAGTCAACCAGTATAATGAGTGCACTGCTATGAATGTGACTACACCGCTATAATATGTAAATCGCAACCTTTCTCACCACCTATAGTAGCAATGTTTCGCGTTTTTCAATATTTAATTTCCTTAGCCTTATGGTAATGGTAATCCATCTTAGATAGAGTGCTGTTAGAATTATGTATGTGCCAGCAATAATAATTACTGTCCCGGAAACTTTCATTCTTTGATAGCCATTCCGAAGACTTGTGTTGGACTAATCTGTCAGGTTGGCACCAACAAAGTAAGGTTAGTATATCTTGTCCGTGAAAGCGCCTTGACATACAGTATTACTCATATTATACAAAAAAACTGATTGATCTCTTTGTCCTGTTCTCTTGAAATGGTAATTAAGTCTACAATATTCTATAATTAGTTCAAAGTAAATGTTGTCATATATACTCAGCCTTAAGAAATCTTCTACTTAACATGTTTAGGGTTAATTGGCTTATACACCTACCCCATGCCTCTCTAAGACTCCCAATTATCCACTAAGCTAATTTTCTCCAAGTCGAAAGTTGTTATTTTCAAAACTATTATTTACTTAAAAAAAGGATTTCAGGTCATCAAACGGTTATCAAATTAGCCAAGACTCTTAGATCAGGGGAGATCGTTTTTTTAAACATGCCTTTCCTTGACATTTAATTATATATAGTTCTAATTGTGCAATTTTTAATTTTTATCTATATACTTATCTGTGTACGGTTGGGGGTAAAGTATGCCATCAAATATAATATAGTCTGTAGGACTAAGTATATACATTTTGCATTTACGGGTATTGTCATTAAGCAATATGTTACTTCGTGGGCATGAATCGATAATCATGTAAATGCTTATGGAGCCATGACAGTGACAATGCTCCAGTTAGCAGATCACTAAAGGTTTGGACACACAAATAGACAAATTCACAAATAGAAATAATTAACAATTATACTTATCTCATTAATAGAAAAAGGTCATCAATGAGATCTTAGGAATGGGAATTTGGTGACAACAACTACCTGCGAATAAAAAAGCCCATATCCGTTCCATCCTCTACAACATAGTTCGTCTTTTCATTATCAACTATTACTAATATTACTAAAAAATTCTACAGTTCAGTTCTATTGTTACATATAGCCAAAATTCTTGATTCTGAATCAGCAGTAGAAATGTTCAAGTAACAAATTTCTCGCCAGATCTTTGGTACTGCACACATCTAAATAAATCTAGACTTATATAAAGTTTCTTATGAAATAAGCATTTAGCGAATTAACTAACTTGACGATACCGTAAGGATGAGGGATGATGATTTAGCGAATAAAGTGTTAAAGCATGTAAACAGAGATCGTGTCACCAGTGTAGTCTGAACCTACTGTTTAAGTAACTTTTAATGGACCTTTAGCCCAATCAAAATTGCAATTGGATTAAATTTAGTATTTAAAATTTTTAAATTTCTTTTTACTTATTTCATTTCTGTTTATATTATTTTTATATTTTTATTTATTATTATTATTTTCACAGCTAAGATCACAGCTAAGCACTTGCACTCATAAATGTGAATTGGTTTTTGTCCGCAATGGCAATGCGCTCTCAGTGACATCTAGTGTTAAGTAGAAATCTAATTAATTCGTGGCGCAATTATTCTAACGGATAGGAAAAGAGAGGCGCCATGAAACTCCAGTTTAGGTTGTGTTGTGATTACCGTTTAGATTTTAACCTAAGTTTAGTTGTTTATCTTATGCTATATTTGTTAACTTTTATGCATACTATATTTTAAGTTGCATTAATTTTAAAAAGTCTTTCATAAATAAAAATCACTACAATTTAAATATATTTTACACCAATTATAAATTTTCAATTCTTGTAATTTGGCGGAAAGAGTGGATCAATGGAGCACCTACGCATTGTTGTGCAGTTAAACGATTCAGTTGTGGAAATAAAAAACACTAAAGATGGTGCAGCTGAAAATGGCGATAGCAGTTCCAACTCCAATAATTTACAAGCGAAAGTGTATCTAATCGATTTCAGTAACATACGTTTGGATTTGAATCAAACCACTGACAACTTGACCATAAGTTCACACAAGATGAACTTTGATCTGGTAAGCTTCGCCTCGGATGAATCGCTCTTGAAAGAAGTTAACCAGTTAATGGATCAACTGTTGTTGCAGCGGCGCGATTGCAGTTTGATCCGCTTTGCGGCAAAGCGTGAGTGGCGTTTGACATTTCTGTACAATGCACTCATTGAAGAAGTGAATAATCGTTTGGAACGTCTTAAGGCTACAGTGCATTTTGTACGCGTTGATTATAGAGAAATAATGAAGAACGGTGTACGTGATTTGTTGCATGACTTGCAGGAGGAGGATTGCTTTGCGGATTCTTGTAAAGAGATAGCAAATCCTAACGATTCACACATCAGCTGCTGCAAAGACAAATTTAGAAGCACACGTGAATTATTGTTGTGGTTATTGAATGAACATAGGCATAAGTGGAACACTGCAAGTGGTCATGAATTTTTAGAGCTGAAATTTTTTATCGTAGACGATGAACACAGAACTTTTAAGATTAAATTTACACTTTTCAATTTGTACTTGGATCAAATGGACAATGAAGAACGCGGAAAACTGAATGATTATATTGAACAACTTGGCGGAGGCATTGACTTCGCATTCGAACATTCGCCGCTCACATCATTTCTAAGTGGACATCTGGAGGCAACAACAAGTACGTCAGGACGCACGCTCTTGCTTTATGATGTGCCAGTTAATGAGGACAATGCAACTGTTGATTTATTGCAAATAGCGGATTCACTGATGAAAAGTCGTAGCAAAGGGAATCTTAACTTGATCAAAAGAATTTTCCAAAATGTAAGCCACATAATAATAATGTTCTATTTTACAATAATAAATTTATTTATCAATTTTAAGCGCAACAAAGAGAACATGCATACAAAAAATGAAAATTCGATTAAGGACAAGGAGGTCGCAGAAGACACTTCAGTTATAGTCAGTGAAAGCAAGGAGAAAGAAAGTGAAAATAGCGAAAAAGACAGTGAACACAAAAATAAAACGAATAAAGACAGTAATGCGGAAAATAAAGAGCACCTTAATAAACCAGAGCCCATAAAAAATGACGAGGCTGCAAAGGTTAAGAATCCCTTACTTGAGAGTACAGAAAATCTGCGGGAAGAAATTGAAGACAAACATAAACAGAATAACAAACAATTCAAGAACATGAACAAGCAACTCATACCTAGTAAAACCAATAACCGGGATGATAATGAAAATAGTGAACATTCGGAATATTCGGAACACAAGGAAACTGTTGATAGCAATAAAGCATCTCCAACATCTGAAAAAGATTTCAATTGTCTTAGTTTCTGGTATCGTAAGATTGATGACAAATACACTCAGGCTCGGGATGCTGTACAAGCATTTTTTGAGAAATTTGATGAAGTTAGAGTTACGCAGATATGCGATGATGTTAAAATGATGTCTAATAGTATCGATAATTTTACAAAGGATAGTGTTGGTGAAGAAAACACTGATCCCGTCGGATGCAAAAATGATGATATCAAAACATTTTATAAAAACTATGAAGCATCACTTTTAGCCTTCAAGGCAGTTTCGGATGATGTAAAATATTCACAATTCGTTGATTATCTGGAAATTTATATGGAAACGAGAAATTTTGAACTATCTGAAGCCATCGTCAAATTCAAAACAAAACAATTAAGTTCCCTCCTTGATGTCGTACAAACCGAACTTAATGCACTAAAATCCTTAGAGGACGAATAGTTTCTATAACCTGAAACGCAATGCGTCAGGAGGAGTTAAGGACGCAGTAAATTTATAATTAAATCAGGCTACACTCTTCTATATTTTATATTAAATTTAATAATAACTATTTATTTATATATATTATTTTATTTAGTATTTTAGTTTAAAAATTCAGATTTTGTAATTTGTCTATTGTTTATTTTATTAATTTTTATTGTTAATTTATTTGTATTTTTTTTTAATTTAATTTATATTGTCCATTTATTTGCACTTTTGTCAGTTCAATTATTATTAATTTATTTGTATTTTTTTTTAAATTTAATTTGTTATATTTGATATAAAAATATTATAGTTATATGTTATATATTTTTTCTTTGCATGCAGCTACCTTTTTACCTACATTTTAAAAGGATTTGTAATGTGATTATGGAATTTATTATGTACTTTAAAGATCTTTTGTAAATCAATTGTTTGTTTATTTAAAAAAAAATTTATTTTTAAATAAAGTAAACGCTATAAAAGACGTCCTTATAGGATACTTAATATCAATCTTGTTTGCATATAATATTATTTATGCGTTCGTGTGTTTATTTCGGAGACGACAGCTTCTCGTAAATATATCTATAGAAAGACTAAACCAAAAAGGCTAAACATTTAACTGAATATGGTATCTTCCATCTTTAATTACAAACCAAAAAAACAAATTGATTTTCTTAACGATTTTCATAGTGCAAGAATAACAAGATTCCAATTACTTTTAATGTAATGAATATTTGGTTCGATTCTTTAAAGAATGTAGGGGTCTTAGAAATTTATGCTCAACGCATAATTAAGCTACATTTGGTATTACAGACAAGCACCGAATTGAAAGCAAGTACATATAAGAATGATAAACCACCGAACAGTAGGCTGTATAATCGGGAGAGTGATATGGCTTAAGATAATAGTATGAATAACAAAATAAATAGGTTACAACTTTAGCTGGATCCTATTTATTTAGCCTGGCAACTTTCTGCCTCTAAGTACCGTTCGTTCGTCATTCCAAGACAAAGTTAGGAAAACTGCTAGCTACTGCAACTGTAATTAACATATATTGAATTCAGAAACCAACAACTTTTGCCCAATCATGCATTTACTTCAACATTCTTAGTTTTGGACGTAGCAATATTGAGATCGCAGCTAAACTAGTAAAGTCAGGTATTATATCTTTAATTCATCAATCAGTTTTAGTTGGGTACATAATTATTAAGTTTACATTAGTACTACTATCAATATATAATTTAAATTTTAACATTGTTTCATATAACAATAATTTTGGACATTTAATTTTCAAAGTAAAACAATATAGAATACACAAGTGGTTCTTACAAATATTAACAATATTAATTTCATGACATAAAATAAATTTTAAATATAACTAAAGACATTTTTGTTAACATATAAAAGCAAACATTGAAGATAAAACATACATATATTAATAATAGAATAATTAATTAATAGGGTAGTTTTTCAGGAAGACTGCTATTAAGCTTACATAGCTCATTACTTATTATGTCAGAAAGCTGCATCAGTTGCTTTATTTTATTCCTTCTAACATAACCTTCCAATTCGAACTGTTTAGTTTTCAGGTACGCCTCTAGGAACTTGCTATATTGTGTGTGCTTAATATCCTCGGACAGTTCTTTTAAATGTTCACTTGCATTTTTATAAATCCTATAAGATTCATCAGCTTTATTATTGTCTTGCGCTGTAATCATTTTCATTGATTTGTTATTTTCATGATCCATATTTATGTCTTGTGATATAAATTTGATATCATTGCACATTTTCTTCACATGATCTTCGTGACATTGCACCAAATATGTATTCATGTCGATGCGCAAATTAGTAAACTTTTCATCAATGCCACGGTACCAAGCAGACAAACAACTTATGTCAAATTGTTCAAAACTTTTTGTTGGCATGTATGGGGATTGAACAGAAATACTCGTATCCAGACAAAAAGTTTCGGAGTGATGTGCTTCATCTTCCGTTGTTTGTCGTTGGAACACATTTGCCTAAATTCGAATTCAAGTAAAATTTTTTATATTTAATTTAAACAAATCAACAAATAAATACCTTTGATTTGAACTTTTTGAAATTCAAATTAGCTTGATTTCGTCGTTTAAACAATGCATCGGCAATATTCAATATATCCACTGTATCTGAAACAGCATTTTCTTTTACTGGAACATTAAACAAACATAAGGTGCGCCCACGCGTTTCATTCGAACCTTCTAAATAATTATTCAGAAGGTGTGTGAAATCAGAGTGCAGAAAGCGGAAATTATTGCATCTTCCGAGTTGACTTACATAGCTTCTCCACTTCAAACGTTCAAGTCGATCCAACATATCTACGTATATTTCAAATAACGCAAATTCTAGTTTCAGCGGTTTACTCTGTTGAATAACAATTGTAAATGTAAAATTAATGAACAAATGACCTTTTCCGTTGTTCCATAAAACGTACTGGTCATTCAGAAGCCACGCCAACAATTCTTGAGTGGTTTTGAATACATGAAATTGCTGAGTAGCGCGTGAATTCTTTCGTTTTTGTTTAGCGTTGGTATTGATTTTTGCTATGTCTTCATAATCTACTCTGATGGTAGTAACTGTTGCACTCAATCTTTCCAAGCGTTTGTTAACTTCTTGTATAAAACGATGGTAAACGAGCTTTAATTGCCAAATGCGTTGTGTGGTGAAGTGTATAAAACAGCAATTGTGACGTTGAAGCAAGAAATCATCCATTAAATGTTGAAATTCAATTGAAAAGCAATCTTCCGTTGCTAAGGTCACCAAATCAAAATACATCTTATTACCTTTTTTCATATTGGAGGATTTTTTTAGATTCAACCGTAATGTCTTATAATCGAGTAACTCTATTCTTGAATTAGTACTAGTGCCAGCACTTTGCGGTTGTTGCACAATTGTATTATCAATTACCATGGTTTTGTCTGGTTTATGTATTTCGTGCTCATTTTCTATTTGAACCACAATATAGACATGCTCCATCCTGTTCAGCTAACAAATAGATACTTTTTAATATTGAAACAAATATTGATCAACAATATTTCCAATTATATATGAATTATGGAATTCCTATGAATTTATAAATAATGATACGAATTTCTGTTAGATTTTTTTATGATATATAGAGCAAAAGTATAATGTGCGAAGCACACAAATTTACAGTTATGAATTTTGCGCCATTTTTATAGTTAATAGATGTAACATTTTATAAAAAGGTGAATTTTAATCATATATAAATGACTGATGGAAAAGTAATGTCACCAATATTCAACATTAACACAAAAAAAAAGAAAACCTTATTTCTTATTATTTGTTTTAAAAGACTTTTGTTGTAGTTTGAAAATATTGTATTTTGTTTGTGTTTTGCGTCTACAAAATTTTTATATAATAAATATATATATTTTTATTTATATATTTTAAAGCTAATTAATTTTAAAACTAATTAATTTTTTTTTTGATGAGCCATTACTATGCTTAATGCATTAATAGGTGCTACCATTTGTTTCATACCAGTTCATATCACGTTCTTATTCAAACTGTACTTTAAAGCCGAATGCGATACCGATAAACATCTGTTTTTGATTTCCCCACGAAAGCAATAGCACAAAACAGTTTTTCTCCACGAATTACTAATGATCAAACAGAAATCTTTTAAAATGTTTCGTTATATTTCAAACAATAATAATAATTAAACTCCTAAATTTTTCACAATTTTTATATATTATTCAACAAACATATTGAACACAAAACTATGTAGATGGATTATGGCTTTATGTGAGTTCGCGTAAATTAAGGTAAAATTAATTGAAATTTTAAATAAGTAAATATATATATTTTGCACTTATTTATTATTTTTGGTTAAAGGTTTTCAAATTTTTTTATTGAACATCTTATAAAATTTTCAGAATGGTAACACCTAATTTAACTAATTTACCCTACTCGAAATTTTGGTAAATATCAATATTCGCTGTCATGCTGACATAATTTACTATCACCCTCTATTTACTATCATTTTACTCGAACTCGCACACGGTCTATATACAATTGATATTACAAATATTATGCAATAATTTGCACTTCTTACGAACACATTATTACTACTGTAACATGTGTTCACCCCAGCATGAAATATTGTTTGGCAGCACTAATTTTTGTTTTTGCTTTATATTGCACCGGTAAAATTGATAACAACAAAACAAAAAGCGTAATTGGCAAAGAGAACAGAAAATGAGGAAAATGTTTGATGAACGGAAAATTTGTCATTTTTATACATGAGGAGAAAATAGCGAGTGCGAAAATATTTTTCATTGGCTTAAACCAAAATTTTTAACATAAAAATTATTGAAACGTTGTTTAAAATTCGGAAAAAATTATTTATTTGCAAAGAATTACGCAATATATGCTTTTTTTGGCAACTGCGTTTAATTATGTGAAAGAATTCCTGCTCATCTGGGAAACTTCAACAGCTGGCAAACGGTTTTCTAACGACGTAAAATAAATGTTGCAACTGTGAATTAATAAACATGGCTCATGCCAAAGAATCTTTCCGGGAACGGCAAATACAGGAGTTGGAAGTTATTAAGGTAGCATATATAGATTATATATATTCAAATCAAAACGCTGTTCGCCGTTATCTCTATATGCTGTCAAGCTCAGTTCTCATATATGCATATGGTCTGCGAAGGTTGCAGTCTAATTGGAATTAAAACCTTATGGGTTTTTATCTAACTAGACTGTTTATTTATTTGTGATAAATTTCGATGTTGTTTGTGTACACAGTAATATATATGTATATATAATGTGTGTATTCATTAACACATATTTATGTGGCGTTTATTTGTATTTATTAATACCTGTTAAGTTTTGTTTGTTTAATAATTAGTAATCCGCATCACACACATTTAATTATAAAGAAGAAAATATATTTCGCATTAACTCCAGTAAGACTTATTATTAACTTGTTTTTTTTATTGTTTATTATCTGGAAATCCAGCGACAAGTCAGCTCCGAGAAGCAACTATAGTAATCACTGCTATAATGCGATAGATTCGTTCCATGTTATAGGAAAACGCGTTATTGGGGTAATCCCGTATACTCCGTATACATACGTGCAAAGGTACGCGAAGCTAATTATGAACTGTACAAATCCCCGCGTTATATGGAGGAATACCCATGTTATACGAGGGATTGAAATCGCGTAATATGAAAACGCGTTATAAGGATACCGCCTTATAGTGGGGTTTACTATATATTGTTTATTTATTTACATATGTATATATATAAATTTTGAAATATTATGTGATGTAAGATTGGGTTAGATTGGAGTGCATATAAAACTCACTTGTGTGGCTGAAAACCCAAGCGAGTCTGCAATTGAAATTCAAATTAAAACTGAACAATTATACAATTGTTACTACCAAAAAACTGCGTAAGAGCTGATACAAATAGCTTGTTGTAATATTGTATAACTAATATCTGAAATAAATCATTAATTAAATTAATTTTTATATTGCAGAGTATTTTTGGTAAAGATGTGGAAGACTTGCGCCCAAATAGCAGTAGCGCAATCAGTGCTTCGAAATGGAAACCCACAGATATACGTATACAGCTGACGCCGTTACGAGATTCCTCCAATGGCCATATGGAAGCATATGTCCGTACCAAATTACACATAGTGTGTCCTTCGAAATATCCTAAAGTGTAAGTAATACATAAACAAAAACAAAAAAAAATCCAATTAATATTCAATTATAATTATTTTATATTTTTTAGAGCACCTAAATTATCTCTTGAAGAAAGTAAAGGTTTATCAGATCAACACGTGGAAGAATTATTAAATAAACTAGAGAAGCAATCTCAAGATTTGCGTGGAGAAGTGATGATATTCGAATTAGCACAAATAGTACAAAGTTTTCTATTGGACCATAATAAACCACCGCGTGGCTCCTTTTATGACGAAATGTTACAGGCGCAGCAAGAGAATTTAGATAAACAAAAACAAAAAGAAACCAAACAGAGACAAACATTGATGGATGAAGTCGAACGTCGAAAAGAGATGTTCAAGAATGAAGCAAAACGTAGAGGAGAAATGCGTCGCAGTATAAGTGAATCGAATCGTCATTGCAGTTCGTCGGAAAGTTCAGAGACTGCATCACCCTTTAATCGTGGTCATATGTATTCAAATAAATGCTTAGAACATAGATGTTGCGAAATAATTTATTTTTCCAAATATGGACGTCGTGTAAAAAGAGGTTCTTGTTTAGGTATGGCAAATTATTTCGAGTTTTCATTATTTCATTGAATTTAATATTTTTTTTTGTATATAAATTTAAGGTCATTCACAGAAAGGCTGCATCGCTTACACAGGCATGGATCCAGATAGCGGCCAACTGTTATACATAACCGAATGGAATATCAAGTACACACAATTGGAGGCTAAGTGCAGTAACGGTGGGAAATGCTTTTGGGTGCCAACTGAATTGAAGTGCAATGGTAATCATAGGGTCGATGATGTGATCAATTCGATTGAGAAACAAATATCAATGTTAGTTCAACTGCATCATAAGAATCTCATTCAATACGAATGTGTGCTTTGCATAAAACGTAAAGAATTTTTTACAATATTTCTCGCACAGGATTTTTTGCTTGGTACAAGTGTTTTTAGTATATCATCAACATTAGGCTGGTGTATTGATGGAGCACGTATGGTTGCACGTGGTGTTTTAGATGCACTAGTCTTTTTGCATAACAAAGGAGTTTCTCATAGCCATATACTGGATACGACAATATTTATGGATAACACTGGCACCATACGTTGTACTGATTTTTCTTTAGTGCCAAATTTGTTGGAATTGATAGCAGGCCCTGGGCAACGTTCGACAAAAGGCGACTTGCCAGCTTTGGGTGCACTAGTAGAGAGCTTATTGACTACACATACATTTGAGATGCGTGATTTTATAGAAAAGTAAATGAATATGTTATAGGATATATTAACAAATTTAACTTATAGCTTTACCTATTGTAGATGCAATTCTGATCGTACCTTATCAGCATCCGAGTTATTGGAACATCCATTTCTGCGTTTTGCTTCATTCATGCATGATGATAAGGACAACGGTTATCTTTCTGTAGCTATTAAAAATCCAACACAGCATAATGCAGACTTGGGAGTTGGTAATCAGAACAAAACTCGAAATTTAGCAGTACCCGCAGCTGATGTAGCTATTATGGCATTGCCTACGAGCCAGTCACGTTTACGTACTGAATTCGAAGTGCTAACGTACTTGGGTAAAGGTGCATTTGGAGATGTATTAAAAGTGCGCAATATACTCGATAATCGCCAATATGCTATAAAACGCATACCGTTGCCAGCTCGCAGTCGTCAATTATACAAGAAAATGACTAGAGAAGTAGAGCTGCTATCACGTTTAAATCACGAAAATGTTGTGCGTTATTTTAATAGTTGGATTGAGAGTGTAAATGAGGAAGATGTAGATGAAGAAGTGGTAAAATTTGTGTATATGAAAAAACATTTCAAACTGCATTAAATTGGTCTAAACTGTTTTCAGGATAAATTAATACCTGCGGATGGATCTGTAAGTCATGACAGTATTAAACCGCCTAAATCTCCACATGGGATACCAGTCGACGAGATAGAAGACAGCTCTTCAAGCATGTGGAATGGTTTTATGTGAGTGAAGAAATTAAAAATGATGATATGATGATAAATAATTACTTATTTATTTACTACAACTTATGTAGGCCGAATATGGATACTTCCGACTCTGATGGCATAGAATTTATTGATTCAGATGGACAAATAGCGGTTTACAACGATGATGATGATGATGATGATGCTAATGCTTCGGAATCTCAAAAAAAAGCTGCATCGCCTAGACCACAAATTCAAATAATGTATATTCAAATGGAATTTTGTGAAAAGTTTACATTAAGGTTTGTTTTTTGTGCTCATTCTTATAAATTAAAATCTAAGCTTATAGTTCATTTTAATATAGGACAGCAATTGATAATAATCTATATGAAGATACTGATCGTGTTTGGCGTCTATTTCGCGAAATTGCAGAGGGTTTATCACACATACATCAACAAGGCATAATACATCGTGATCTAAAGCCCGTAAATATATTTTTGGATTCCCATGATCAAATAAAAATTGGAGATTTTGGACTTGCTACAACTAGTTTTTTGGCTTTACAATCTCAACGTAAGTGTCAATATAGTTTATCAAAGTCAATATAGAAATGTTTTATGAACTACTATAGCTGATCAAACGACACACACTTCGCATATTACTTCCATTGAAGACGGTACTGGTACGGGTAAAGTTGGCACCACATTGTATGTAGCTCCGGAATTAACAGAACATGCTTCTAAGTCAACCTATAATCAGAAAGTAGACATGTATACATTGGGTATAATTCTATTCGAAATGTGTCAGCAACCATTCAGCACTGGCATGGAACGTATACAAACTATGCTTGAATTGAGAAGTCCAGCAATTATCATACCTAATGCAATGTTGGAAAACCACAAAAATGATAAAACAATCAAGGTGAATATGTGACAGATTAACGAAAGTATACTTACATCGAGTGATTTAATTGAAAGCTTTTAACAAGAGATTTAATGTAAATCGCTTGTTGTTAATATAGAGAATTAAAGGTTTTTTTAATTTAATTTATATTATTTTTAAGATACTTCGTTGGCTACTTAATCATGAGCCAGCAAATCGGCCAACTGCAGAGGAGCTACTTGCTTCTGATTTGGTACCACCTGCTCAGCTGGAAGCGAGCGAATTACAAGAAATGCTACGTCATGCGCTGGCCAATCCACAAAGTAAAGCTTATAAGCATATTGTGGCACGTTGTTTAAGGCAGGAAAACGATGAAGTGCTTGAGCATACTTATCACTTAGGCAGTAGTCGTGCAATGAAATCATGGAACTCTCATATAGCTTGCGACGGGCTAGTATCGCTTAATCCCGTTATAGAGTTTATCAAAGCAAAAGTGATTGGTTTATTCAGAAAGCATGGTGCAATTGAAGTGGACACTCCTCTACTTTCACCACTGTCAACGCGTACAAATCTTTGGTGTAATCCCGTCAAGTTAATGACACATTCCGGTTGCGTTGTAGTGCTACCCAGCGACTTAAGAACACAATTTGCACGTCATATAGCAATGAGTGGAGTTAATATGATACGTCGCTACTGTGTGGATCGTGTTTACCGTGAAGAAAAGGTGTTCAACTTCCATCCGAAACAGAATTATGAATGTGCTTTTGATATAATCACACCGAACACAAATAGTTATTTGGTTGATGCAGAATTGCTGACCGTTGCTTACGAGATTACAAACGAAATACCGCGTTTACGTGAAAAAAATGTGGCGATACGTATGAACCACTTGAATTTGCTACGTGCCATTTTACTTTATTGCAATGTGCCGAAAAATATGTACAGTGAACTATTTGGAAATATTACCGATTTTATCGAGGGTCGCATATCAAAATTTCAGCTGCACTCAACAGTCACTGTTATAATGGAAAAATCCAAATCGTCTGCTTCTACAGTTATAGACTTATTGCTATCAAACTTTCTAATTAGTGGCTCTAGAAGCGGAGTGGATGATTGTTCGTTGCGGACATTGGTGCGAGGTAAAGGTGAAACGGCTTCGTTAGCTAAGGGCGCTTTACGCGAACTGGAATCTATAGTGGCAATTGCAAAAAGTTTCGGTGTAAAGGTATGATTTGAAAAACTCAGGATATACATTATCTCATTTTTAAAACGATTTTTTTTCTAGTGTCCTATACACATCTGTGCCGGTTTGCCAATAAGTTTTGAACGCGCAAATAACGGCAGCATTGTGTGGCAAATGGTTGCTGATCTGAAACGTAATCGCGGGTCAAGGCCATCTGTGCTCGCTGTGGGTGAGCGCTATGATAATATGTTGCAGGAATTTCAAAAAGAAGCGCAAAGTTTTAATGCAAACATACCTTTGCGTAAGATTGGTGGCGCTGGCTTATCTTTTTCACTCGACAAACTCATTGCTGCAGTGGATGTCGAAGATGCTAAGGAATGTCGTGCTATAGATGTAGGTGTTTGCATTAGTGGTTCACGTCCACCTCTGAAAGATGTTGCATATATCATGCAAGAGTTGTGGTCTAGTGGTATACGTTGCGGCATTGTGGAGTCTGGAGTTGCTAGTGGTGATGATTTGCAGGACTTGGCTAAGCTTGGAGCATTGCATTTTATATTGGTAGATGAAAATGGTGGTTTACGTGTTCGTTCCTGGGAACGCGACAGGTTTCAAGAGAAACATGTGACTCGCAATGAACTTGGAGAATTTATACAGAAGATGCTACGTAATGATGCAAACAATACCGCTACCACGGATTATGTTAGTCAAATGTCAAATGCTGGTAATAATAGTGGACGCGGAGATGGTATTTTAAATACATCAGGTGGAAATAGCAATCAAAAAATGAGTTACACAATAAGTGGTCTAAGCCAATTGCCATACGTTCAAACAGTATTCTTAATACAGGATAAACTTACTGCCAATTATCGCAGACGCTGTGAAAATCAAGTAAGTTAAGATCACCGAATTAAGGTTAGGGTTTGATTATTGTTATTTTAATTAAATTATTGCGAAATACTTTTCAACTTAATTGTGTTTGTAGTTCTGTAAAACAAGGACTTATATGCATAAGGTAACTAGCACAATGGGATAGAATGAAATAGGGGCAAGGTATGAGTAAGAAAAGGGATAAGTAGATGTGCTGAAGTGGGCAAAGTTGAAGCAACCACTTGAGGACTTAAAAACTGAAACGCTATTTGCTTTGAAAATAATTCCGAAAGTGGACTTTAACAATTGGAAAAAGCTGTCGCTTAAGTATATTGTACTTTTAAGCCGATTCAATAGATTCAGAATAACAGTTTTAACACATTAGAGTTGTGCATATTTTTGAACTTATATGTAAAATGACGTCTGTAATAGATTTATTAGATTTCTATGCATATTCAAGTCTTACATTTAACATATTTGTTAATTAATAAAAATATTTCCTTAAGGCTATACAGCAAATGAATACAATCCTTACGCAATTCACCAAAAAAGCAAACGTCACAGTGCTAATTGTGGATTTACCAAACTCCGTATTGAACGCTATTGTCGGTGCGATTAATCCTCGTACTGTCAACAAAAAAGAGACTGAACACGAAATAAACATTGTGATTGAAAGGTAATTAACAAAATATATAATTTCTTTTATAAATATTAAATATTTCGTTTTTCTTTTATAGATTTCCTAAGCACAAACGTTATGTTCTGACAATTTTAGAAGAAATTGACGACCTAGTAACAGATGCGAAGACATCCATTGTGGCCTTATATAGCATTTTGGACTCGTGTTATCGTGTAATTATATAAATTAGATACTTTTACGTAATGTTACCTATTTTATAAAATGATTTAATATAATTTTGTAATGATTGAATTTAAAGACCTATATGATTTTGTCAATTACATTTTCTTTAATTTAAAATACTAATATTTTTATAACAAATATATTGATTAGATTAATTTCTACGGAACTAAAACTAAAACTTATATAAAATAACTGTTTAAATTATTTTAAGAAACAATAAAGACTATATGTTGTTTTTTACCTAACAATTTGAATCTTTACATAAAAATATACAATTCTTTCCTATAATTTATAATATATTTATAAATATAATATATATAAATAACGCTACGTATTTTCATTTGCTTTATTTAAGCTACGTAGTATGCCAGCCGTAGTTGATTGTAAAACTTTACGTGAAAGTCGCATAAATCCTGATACAGGATCACGTCCAAAATATTTAACTTGAATTTCTTGACCAATTTCTAAACCCAAAGCGGAGGGATGAGCAATCTAAAACAATATAATGAATATGAATATATTAATTAAGCACTAAAAATAATTTCTTTAGATTGATTTACCTTTCTTTGGTCTAATTGAGAATTATGTAGCAACGCTGGTGGCATATTAGGATATAAACTAACCATTACACCCGTATCTCGTATTTCTGTGATTTTAGCAGTATAAATACCACCAAACTCTAAGTCTGGTATGGTGTCCTTAACAAGTAAGGCATCGATTTGTTCTTTTGCCTCATCCAAAGCTGCTTCAGATGGTGCGAATAGGGAAAACGAAGTTTCATCTTCTGCTGTTATCGTGGTACCAGTTTCCAAATAAATGCGTTTAATATTCATGCCACTTGGACCAATTAATTTTACACGCTGTTGCGGCTCGATTGATATGCGTTCTGTAACTGGCCAGCAATCCTTACGATATTTTCTATATAATATAAATAATTAATTGAAGATGCTTATTTTTAAAATTATTATTTATAAGTAACTTTTTAAGTTAATACTTAATTAATTATAATAATATGTATACAATACATATTTTACAAACCAAGTTTTAAATTAATTTGAAATGGGACTAACCTTGGTTCTCTTATAACTTCACCCATAATATCCAGTATTTTTCCTTTTGCATCTGTAGCTTTTTGTAAAGACTCCATAACTACTTTTAATGGTATACCAGGAACTTTTAGATCTGCTTGTATGGCAGTAAAGCCCTTACGTGTGCCTGCAACTTTCATATCCATATCGCCCATATAATCCTCAATACCCAAAATATCAGTTAATATACGATAATCTTTCATATGTTTAGTGTCATTATTTTCATATTTGGTCACTAAGCCAATAGCTACACCAGCGGCTGGAGCAACAACAGGTACCCCGGCATCCATTAGAGCCAATGAACCACCGCATACAGTAGCCATCGAGCTTGAACCATTCGATTCTAACACTTCGGAAGTCAGACGTACTGTAAAAGGATAATTGTGTGGTAGCGTAGGCAATAAAGCACGTTCAGCTAAAGCACCATGACCAAGCTCACGCCGTCCAACAGGTCCAATACGTCCAATTTCACCTGTAGCATACGGTGGGAATTCATAATGTAGCATGAAATTTTTGGCCTTTAAACCACTAAATTTAAGAAAAATATTATTTGTGTTTATATATTAATGTGTATAATAAATACGTTTCTAAGGCTGAGAGAGTATCTAACTTCATGGCGCTTTCCTGAGAATCCAATGATACAGTACAAAATACTTGCGTTTGGCCACGCTGAAATAGTGCAGACCCATGTAACGGTTTGTACAAGTCAACCTAAAATTGTATTGAAAAGAAGTTTAGCAAATCTACAACAATAAAATAATATAAAAATCGAGTTTTTCATTCACCTGACAACTGATGTTTCTGAGATTATCGAAACTTCTGCCATCACACCTTTTATTTTCTTCAAATATTAAATTTCGAAATATGTTTTTACTAATCTTATTAAATTCGTCTCCAATGAGTGTTGGTTCAATATGAGGAAATGAAGACCACACTTTATCGATAACGTTTGTACGCACTGTATTTACCGCATTATCCCGTGATATTTTGTCATGCGTTTGATCTTGAAATATATCACGCAAACGCATTTCGCACATAGTTTTCACGGCTTCACTTATTTCCTCATCCACTGTTGGTAGTGGTTCCAATGGACGTTTCGTACGACCATATGCTTTTTGTAAACGTTCTATTTCATTCACGATGTACTGTGCTTCTTGTGTGCCTTTTTTAATAGCCTTCAGTAGATCTTGCATCAATACTACGTTACCCTTTCCTTCTAACATAACGACGAGATTATGTTTTGTAGCTGAAATTACTAAGTCCAAATCGGAGGTTTGCAACTCTCTTCTCGTTGGGTTTACAATAACCTCACCATCGCTAAGTCCTACACTGCAAGTTTAAACAATTAATTTTTTTTAAATTTCTTTAACACTATTTATAATACGAACCGCACTGCGCCAATTGGACCATTCCAAGGTATATCACTTAGACTTAATGCCACAGATGCTGCATTTATCGATAGTACATCAGGTGAAAAAACTGCGTCCATTGCTAACATATTGCAAACAAGCTGTGTTTCTGTACGGAACTCTGCTGGAAAAAGCGGTCGCAATGAACGATCAATCAGTCTTGCTGATAGTATTTCTTTTTCAGATGGCCCAAGTTCACGACGCATAAAATTCATTGGTATGCGTCCAGAGGCGGAACCTTTTAGCCGATAATCCACTACTAATGGCATAAAGCTTGCACTGGGAGCTTGTTTTGGTTTTGCTACAGCCGTCACCATAACTGCTGTGTCGCCCATTTGACATACCGCTGTGCCATTAGCAAATCGTGCATACTTCCCAGAAGTTATGTTAAGATTTCGTCTATAAAAATTTAGGAGGAATTCAAGATTTTCAATACATCAAAATTTATATTAGCTTTTTTACCCGTTAGAGAATTTTACTTCTGCATTCGGACATTCACTTGACGTAGTTTGTGTGGCATTGCGGCAAGGAACTCTTAAATATTTTAAACGGTAATTCAATAATTTTAAATATTTTTTTGTAAAAATCATAATTATTGTGTCTCGCACCGGCAGAATATGTTGCGCCAGTTAACAGCTGATATTACAGCACATGTGTTGAAAATGGGGTGGCAGTGTAGGCAAAAAGTAGTAGTTGAATAATAAAGTAAAACGAATTAAAAATGTTGCTTATAATATTTAAGAATATTTTATAATAGGTATTATCTTGATTTTTTAGATATTTGAACTTTAAAAACAATGTTTCAATTAATAATATATCTATTATACACAGTTATTACAAAAATATATTGAAAACTTAAAAAGAAAAAAATTTAAAAATAATATTTATATAAATTTTTCAACTATTTACACTTCAACTAGTTTTGAAGAGTCAAAAGAATATATAATTATTGGTTCTTTTTTATTGATATATTCATATATTTTATTAAAACAATAACAGTAATATTAAAAGAGTTTTCAATAATTGTATTTATCTATCTAGGTCAGAGTATGTTGGGATGGCAGACTCGTCAATCAAAGCTCAATTGAGTACAAATAATGTTCCGTTGTGACACCACAAAACCAAGACCTATAGGACAATCTGAAAGTTAAAACACAAAAACCTCTAGCGCACAAACAGTGTCCTTTTGAAAAATCAATTCCCATTCAAGTAGAAGAAAACAACCTGTCAAGTCTATAACTTGGCTATGACTGTAAATTTTAAAGAATAACTTAAAACAATTTTAAATCTTTTACTAGCCAATGATGGACACATGCACATGGGGTGAAGTACATTTCTCTTCTCACTTGCCGAACGTTGAAGAGTAGTCCTTATCTTATTACATACCTGTTTAATATGTAATTTTTGTTATAGATGAAGATGATGAATGGTGCGATAGAAGTAATAGCAGTAATAGAAGTAATAGGATTTTTGGATTATATATTATATATATTATATATATATATTATATATATTATATATATATTATATATATTATATATATATTATATATATATGGATTATATATTATTATATTATATATATTTGGATCATATATTAAAAATGTATAAGTACGTAACATATTCAGAAATTTTCAGAATCGCTTTTACTTAAAAAGTCTTACATGTTGAATAACATAAACTGTAACCGATTAGTAGACTGTAAAGATTGTTAGTAATACAGTATTAGACCATGTGTTAGATAATACAGACTAATAACAATTTCCTATCTTTTTTTCCAGATAAAAGATATATATTGTAAAATATGTATATATATATTGTATATATTTAAAATTAAAATTAGTAAATGATAGATGCTGTTGGATTTTGAGGGTAGCTACTTATTTCCAATACTCCAACTATTATTTACAGTACCAGATTCAAAAGGTGACACAGACCACTCAGAGAAATCTAATGCCCTCAAAGTTGTCTGATTAAGGTGAATTACAATTACTATTATATCTGTATGTTATCCTTGTTAAACCATTGGAATCTTCTAAGCAGAACTGACAAATCCACTTTCAGTATCTCTACCAGGGTGGTCTCCAATATATTGAAGCCGGTCTGTCTATAATCCGAGACAAACACGTAGAAAATGATTGATGGACTCTGTCTCTTTTTCATCGTAGCAATACCTGTAGAGTCAATTTATCAAAATTCGTCACCAATGAAGTATCGGTTATAATGAATGAGTGCCCAATTAGTACTCCAATAAATACACGAACTAAAGGTTTGGTAAAGTTCCAAAGGTTTTTCATTGAAATCCATTCTGGAAGGTGAGATTGAATGAACATGTTAGTTAGTTCTGGATTCAATAACAATCACCAGAACACATATTTAAGTCAATATATGTGTGTACATCTTTAAAGGGTATATAACTTCCAACTTTCGAAAAATCCAATTATCTTGATTTTCAATCGAATTAAATTTTTTTAAACAGTCAAACAAGAATTCAAGAAATAAAAATGTAGCCACTTAAGACTATATATTTCGCATAAAAGACACAATGAAATGTTAGCAAATTAAAAAAAATATGTGTGAAATATAATGTCATAACCATTTTCATCCTTTCCAAG